CTCTCTAGCACTAAGGCATTTAGAATGGAACGACGCTGACTTGCACCAGCTGAGATGTGCTAGGCTGACTTGCACCAACGGATGATCTGGCCCTCAGAGCTGAACAACATTTATGCTCAGAAACTATGTATGGTCTCCCCGCCCCCTCTTACAAGTACATTATCTAGCTATAATATCTAGCTACAACTAAATGTTTATTTTGTGCCATGCATTCAGACTGCAAATATATTCCCTTCTCTTCAATCACATGCTGGTCCCCACTGTGGATTTCTTGTGAGGAGCACACAACAGAGTGAGGGGGGGAAATAAATCTTGCAGGTTTTGGGCATTTTCTTTTTCACATCATAGGCTGGTAAATATTTTAATTATTTCTCCACCCTCCTTCTTCCTCTTTGAAATTCTCAAACAGAGCCTTAAATATACCATTATTACAAAAACTACTCCATCCTGACACCCCAACTCTCCTCCTCCCCACCCCCAAATCCACAATGTAACCATTTATATTATCTGTAAAACATATAGGATAGTTACGGTTACATGAATATTGCTTTTCTATACCAGTTACTCTCAGACTAAGTAGGCTTCAAGGTAACGTGGTTTTGAGTAGCTGCCATAGAACAAACTAAACTAGGGCTGGTCCACACTAACCCCCCAGTTCGAACTAAGATACGCAACTTCAGCTACGTGAATAACGTAGCTGAAGTCGAAGTACCTTAGTTCGAACTACAAGGTACTTACCGCGGGTCCACACGCGGCAGGCAGGCTCCCCCGTCGACTCCGCGTACTCCTCTCGTGGAGCAGGAGTACCGGCGTCGACGGCGAGCACTTCCGGGATCGATTTATCGCGTCTAGACAAGACGCGATAAATCGATCCCAGAAGATCGATTGCTTACCGCCGAACCCGGAGGTAAGTATAGACGTACCCTAAGGCTTTCAGATTTAAAATAATATTTTTTAAAATACTGTCAATAATGGAAAACCTAAAAGTTATCTTAGATGGTCCGCTATTTGGGGGCCGGGACTGGTCTTTTTGTTCTGTGGTAGTACAGAGCCTAGCACAATGGGATCCTGGTCCATGATTGGGCCTCCTAGGCTCTACTGCAGTATAAATAAGTAAATACATTTTTCTTTTCTCTGAAAAGTTCATCTAAATATTTGTTTCTCCCCCCCATATCTAAACACTTCACTGTGCTTAAAAAAATTAATTAAAAACCCCAAGAAATAATTCTAACAGCCAAAGGTTGGGTAACCCTGCAATAACAAACCACCATGACTATGATGGAGGAAAATAGAATTCCCGTAAAGAAACACATTTCAATTTCAAACTTCCAAGGAGGAGTCACAGGTATCGATCTGCAAAGGGCTCTGCACAGGGCAACTCTTGCGTTCCCACCGAGGGTATTCTGTTGTTAAATGATGACAGGGCTGTTATTTATTTTCTTTTAATATTTAAATGCGTTTCACTCCAAAAACAGATTTCTCCCCATTAGTGCAAAAGAGTTCACAAACAGTGTATGGATCTGATCCTCACCCCATTGCTATCAATGGCACAAAGTCCATTGAAGTTAATGGTGCAGAATCAGACTTTATAAGAATAATGTAGCTTTAACATGTAGGTACTCTTCACCAACACTATAAATGTGTCTTTTTTTTATTATCTCTGCTGTAAACATATCTAATATGCAATATTCACACCGTGAGTTCTTCAAACACTGGGTCACACACTTCAAATGATGATCTTTTTATTCTTTTATTAAATTGTCATTGGTACTGGTTATTTGGTATGTCCAAACCAAAATACGAAACTGCAAGCTAAGAGAGCAGCAACACAGCTTGTCCATTGTAAACGATTTATTATTGTTTTTTTCTACCTCAGTTGCTTACAGGAAAAAAATAATTAATTAAAAAAAAAAAAAGCACAGATGAACTATTTACAAAATGAGAAAATTGACAATAGCCGAAATGTTTGCAAATCATGCACACTAGGAAAAGTTCACAAAAGCAAAGCAATTCACAGCAAAACAAAAACAAAATAATAAAAAAGCCATACAGATTTAAAAAAAGCAGAAGAATAAAAAGGAAAACTAACCAATTATTACATCAAGCATCTTTAATGAAAAGAACAGCATAGCTGTGTATGTAGAGCCTTGGACACTGACATTTTAAACAAGTGGATTAACAAACATTAAAATGCATTACAGTTCTACTGTAAGCATGCAATTTACTTCTCACAAACTTATAAAATTGATAGAAGCACTTTTTTTTTTAATAAAAGGAGAATTTAAATGCAACGTGTGCTTTCAACCATACAGCTCAGAACTTAGTTCTGTTAGAAACAAAGCCAATAATGGGAAAGCGTATAAAAACAGGTGAAGGGATACTTCATAGATTTGTGCAGAGGCTAAAGGTTAAGAGGTGCAATACAGCTCATGCTGGCAGCTCAGTTCCTGCTGCTCTTGCTAGAATTTTAATTCTGCCAATGGTCTGCAAGTGAAGCATGGAAGTAAAAGTTACTACAGCATCTGAACTTCGGAAAGCATAGCCTAAACCAAGATAGGGAACTGCCTAAGAGCTTTGAAGGTGGGTTTTTGTTGTTGTTGTTTTTTTGTTTTTGTTTTTTTTGGTATGTGTGGAAGAATGGGATGATTTAGTGTTTGTTTTGGAGGTGGGGCGGTGGGGTGTTTGGTAGCCTCTAATCATCCACAGCTTACTTTGATGAGCACTTTTCAAGGTAAAAACAACAAGGAGTCCGGTGGCACCTTAAAGACTAACAGATTTATTTGGGCATAAGCTTTCGTGGGTAAAAAACCCACTTCTTCAGATGCATGGAGTGAAAGTTACAGATGCAGGCATTATACAATGACACATGAAGAGAAGGGAGTTACCTCACAAGTGGAGAACCAATGCTGACAAGGCCAATTCGAACAGGGTGGATGTAGACCACTCCCAACAATAGATGAGGAGGTATCAATTCCAGGAGAGGCAAAGCTGCTTTTGTAATGAGCCAGCCACTCCCAGTCCCTATTCAAGCCCAAATTAATGGTGTTAAATTTGCAAATGAATTTTAGTTCTGCTGTTTCGGCTACCCCCTGATACCTGACACTTTCAAGGTGACATCACGATACTCAAATTTTTCTGTTTTCAAAACAGAACTCTCAGTTATTAGAATTTCAACTACTGAAAGATCTGTAAAAACAAAAAAGTAATAATCATGCCATTGCCAACTTCACAGATTAAATTTTCACAGATACATGATCATAATACTTTGAATAATTAGATTCATTCCCCTGGCTTGCACAATAATCTTAGCTATATGTTACCCGCCCTCCTGCATGATAATTATGACTTTTACTGATATTAAATATGCTGTATATCAAAAAGCATCAACATTTCAGTTTGGGGGCTTTTTATAGGACTTGATCATAATTTCCATTTCCCTAATAAATTATTTCTACAAAGTTTGTGAGAAGTCATGCCTTTATAAAGTCAACTAACGCCCGCCTCCATTCTATTTGTGAGTTACATTCCATGTGGGCATTAAAAACTCATATAAAGCAGAGGAAACAAAAATAAGGAAAAGCAAACTCAAGCAGTGAGGATATGGAGCCTTTAAAAATAATAATAATAATAAAAAAATAAGTCCAGTCAATCAAACCAGCCAGTAAGAGCAGCATTTTTTCAGTGGACATTGATATTAAACATGGACCACCCAGGCTGTCTCTGTCTGTCTCTTTCTCTCATTAGCACTGTAGTAAACCCCGATTAATTTGTTATGCATCTTTAAGAACTAGTTGATAAAAATTATGTCTTGTGAAATCGGCAAATAGTCTGCAAAGTGAAATAAGAACAGAAATTAATAGATTAAACTGAAAAGATAAGTCCCAGAAATAAAAAAAAAAATTAAAAAATGAAACAGGATAGGGAGTGATTATAATAATAATAATTTAAAAATGACTATGTACTAAGCTATTAAAGCCTAGAGGAAAAAAAAAAACTTGATGAGAGAAGATAGAACAGTTGCCAAAGTGATTTACATTCCTGCCGCTTTTCAAGCTAAGGGCTGTCACCTACTTTGATAGAAGTACAATACAGGAGATATATAGAGGGGGCATCATTCAAACAGACAAATAGTCATAGAGCAAAGAGCCTTCTTTCCAAATTACCAAAACAAAAATGCAAACAGGTGGATCATGACATTCGTAGCATTGTTTCGCTTTGACAACAGTAAATATCACATTACAACACAATATTGACTGGCATTTTAAAAAAATTAAAAGAAAAATAAAATGGGTGGTTTAACCTGAAAAGGCAACTGGAATAAAGGGCGCTGATACTAAAATAAATGCAACTGTAATACAGTTCTTTGAAATGGTAACTGTTAATAGCACAGGTTTGCAATACTTTATTTTTATAATACGAGGAACACTATAATTTCCTTGAAATTAGCTGACTTCTTATGGCACAGACCTCAGAAGCGTACTATATTAAGGTTCTGTGACACATCTGCACTCTAATAAGAAGCGACGTCAGGACTGCTCTATAACAAACCATTTAAAGTAGCATTCTGACAGAAGAGATAATGAAGGATAAGTGTATGTGCTCGTATCAAGGCATTTAGCTACAACAAACTCTTTCATTCTTTCATTCAGCCTTTCCATGAGATCTGCTGGTAGAACGACCCAAGAGAAGATGCAGCCAAACTGAAATAGTGGGGGGGGGGTCTTCTTTTTAGTAAAATCCCACAGAGTACACTGTTTTTACTTCAATACTCTGGTGATAGGTAGCAGCCTAAAACCCCAAGATATTGCAAACTGTAATGTTTTGGGACAAGCCTTCAAGGAAAAGAAAAGGAAAAGAAAAAAAATAGAGTATTTTGTAGAAATGACCCAAACAGTTCCTCTTAATCACAATAATGCAACGTTTTGGGTGTGTAGGTCGTTTTTATTTTTTTAAAAGGGTATACATGCCCATATTTTGCTCTGCAAAGTTTGCATGCTCACCTGTTTCCATGCTCAGAACCCCACCTCCATGCACGCAAAGGGGCGCTTCTGCATGTGCAAAAACATGCATGAGAAAATATTATGAATGCAATTTAGGCACCTTGGAAAACTTGGCCTATGCTGTTGAATACTCTAGTATTTTTTAATCAGTGTACTGATTTCTTACGTTTTATTAAAAGCTTCCTTTTCTCTGCTAGTTTGTAACAGCCTGTACTGTTCAAAACCTGGATTTCTGCTAAAGCAGGGAGAAGGGTCATTTTCAAAAAATAAACCCTGAAAAAAATGGCTTCCAGTCTCAGGTTTGTAGAGAGGATGCGAAAGGAAAATGCAGAGAACAACAAAAGCAGCTTAGGTACATTAAGACAAATCGATAAAGTAGCATTAATTTAATCAACATTTATATGAAAGATGTGACAAATAGAGGTTAGCATGCAATATTCTCTGAACTCTGCATATAAAACCCTCTCTAAGTTCTGGTGACACCGATAACATATTGAGCTTCACACTCCTACCTACAGCATTTCCTCACCAGAACATCTTTCCCCTCTTCCTTACCAGGGAACTGCAGTCTTATACACAGAACAGCTGTGTGCACATCGTTCATTGCCGTCTCTGTGTGGTAGCAGATAGTAGGATGCAGAATTGATACAAGTATTTGGCAATACTGAGGGCATGATACTGCAATTGCACTCCTTGAGCACCTAAATCTCCCAACAATTCCAATAGGTGTCCTAGGTGCAAGGTATGGCCCCAAGTACTGACTTGAAGCTGTGGCATTTAAAGTGGTAGTGTCTAGTGAAACTTTGAATCAGTTCTCCTGGGTCTTATTGTGCTGAACGCCACACAAAGGAAAAAAGACAACAATGTAGGAGCTTTCATCTTTTCAATGCATCCTTGTACAGGAGCTGGGATACCATGGTCATCCTTGCCCTCCTTTACACAGATGCTAGCAAAAACGCAGGAGCAAAGGCCAGAGCTGGTTCTAAAGATTCAGAACATGCTGTCCCCTTAAGTAGTACTGAAAATATTGTGCCCAACTCTGGGAACTGCCACTGGGCACTCACTTCACCTTGGCACCACCTCCTAGCATCAGCTGTACCATAAGGGCACGACTGCACCTTTAAATTCCGTGCCTCAGTTTACCAACTTATAAAAGGGGTCTGACACTCCAATATTCGATATTGCATATGGGATAACATTCCAGAGTGCTGTGAAGTTTAATATTTATAAGATGCTTTGAGAGCCTTAAATGTGCTACACAAGAGTCAAGTATTTTTAGAGCTTCATTAAAAAACGGAGTAAGCGTTTTTAAAAAAAACAACGGATTTTAAAAAATTTGTTTGTGTGGAATAAATACATTATGACACAGTTTCTTATGAAGTGCAAGTCTAAGCAAAAGCTAGAGGCCCCTAAATAAAAACAGATATAATGATAGTTAGAGTCAAACGATATCTTTACAATTAGTTGCTAGTCCTGTCAATTTTATTCATTTAGTTTATTAAAACCATTTTTCATTATCTGGCTTTTCTTCATATAGCTCCATCTGATTCAAGAAGTCATGAGAACCTGAAAATCAAGTCCTGAGACAATGTGCAAATGAACTTTTAAAAAAAAAATTTCACCACCTTGTATTCAAATGCTGTTAGCTCAAAACAGGTGTTGAAATGAACTTGTGTGCATTTTTGTGCCATATCTGGATGGCTTTAATATTATGAAGAGTACTTGTGAAAACGACATATATACCATACAGCTGAGCGGTCAAACCTATTTTGTGAAGAGGGCTGACAACATTTTTAATTATGGCCTGTCAGCCAGGACTATTTCCCTCGATACAGCAGCTCTCCCAATGGTGTCAGTGGGAGGTTTGTACAAAGAACAGCAGCAGAATATGACCCTTATAAAACCATCATAAAAGTGATGCAGGGCACCTTTAGGAAAATTCCTACTACGGCCCTTTGTTTATTTGACCATTTGTGTGTGCTTTTACCAAATTTGCATGCACAACAGCAGTAACTGCATGTGCAAATTTTGCCCACCATTGAACATTGATGTGGTTTGTAAACACGGACCTCAGCGTGATATCATTGTACTTCAGCGTTAGCACTCCATTGTAACAGGAGCAGCTGCTCTCACATTGAACTATTTCAAACTAAGACAGCAAGACGCTGGGTCATGTTACATTTACAAGCACAAGAGGTAGAAATGGAATATTTGTTTTTTAATCCTACAGATCCACATTCATCACGGGGGCTGGATATACAGTATATGTTAAATGGGCTGGGTGATTAACACCCCTGCTATATGATTTTTTTTTAATGTACGGTAGAGCGATAAGAGTACAGTATGTGGCTTAAAAGAACACCTATAAAACAAGGTGCTGGAAAAGTTTCTGAAGGCTCTTCTGAGATGGCATCTTCCCCTTCACGTTACATTCTTAAAAAATCCCCCCACTGTAATGACTCTTCCTCTGGCAAGGGGAAGTGAACACTATACCTGCCGTTAGCCAAAGGAGATCACTATACAGCAACATCAGCCTCAGCACCCTTTTCACCCATCTGGATCAAAAATTAGCAAGAGCCAAAGAGGGAGCTGAACTTTCTGCCTCTGAAGCTCTCCCAGCCCCAGCTGGCCTGGGACGTGAGGAATGAAGGCTGGTCCTGAACTCTGATTCCTTCTGTGTTTCTTACCAGAAGAGCAAATGTATAGAAAAACGGTCAAAGAAGGTCAATTTTTAGACTTAATATCTTAGACAAAGGGGTTTTTTGGGTTAGTTTTCTTAAATGGATATTCTCAAAAGCACTTATACACTTACAGAAATCAGAGTCTCAGCATTTGTAAAATGTCAAAATAATCAATAACAAAAAACAACACTTCCCTTTATGGAAAACTCCAATAGAAACCACTATGGTTCCAAAGGAACTAGATAGCGTTACATGGAAATGACTCTGTCTTGTAGAATTTAATAAACAATTTTAATCCTTTCTATAAAATATTTAAACCAATCTGTAGAATTTTAAAGGAGGGTTGTATTCCTGCTACAGAATTCCAAAGGTAGGTTCAGACATTACATAAAAAGGTTATAGTTCTGTTATAGTCTAGAGATTTTCTCCAGAACGGTCTTGTTTTCTTCTTTGCTTAAAAACCCTGTCCTTTACCTGTAGCATTTTCATTAAAGAGACAGTTAAACTTGATTTCTTAATACTGCGTGCAGTTCTGGTTGCCTCATCTCAAAAAAGATGTATTAGAATTGGAAGAAGGACAGAGAAGGGCAACAAAAATGATTAGGGGTATGGAACATACGATGAAAGATTAAGAAGACTGGGACTGTTCGACTTAGAAAAGAGACGATTATGGGGGGATATGATATAGGTCTATATAATCATGAATGGCATGGGGAAAATGAACAAAGAAGTGTTATTTACCCCTTCACATAACACAAGAACCAGGGGTCACCCAATGAAATTAATAGGCAGCAGGTTTAAAACAAACAAAAGGAAGTACTTCTTCATGCAACACATAGTCAACCTGTGGAACTCGTTGCCAGGGGATGTTGTGAAGGCCAAAACTATAACTGGGTTCAAAAAAAGAACTAGATATGTTCTTGGAGAATAGTTCCATCAAAGGGTATTAGCCAAAATGGTAGGGGATGCAAGCCTATGCCAAGGTGTACCTAAGCCTCTGACTGCCAGAAGCTGGGACTGGACAACAGGAGATGGATCACTTGATAAATTGCCCTGTTCTGTTCATTCCCTCTGAAACATCTGGCACCTACCACTGTTGGAAGACAGGATACTGGGCTAGATGGACTATTGGTCTGACCCAGTATTGCCATTTTCACGTTCTTAACCTAAGCAAAGTTGTGCTTCTAACATTCTTATTCTAAGCAATTAAATAAACAGTGCAAGGTGGTGGAACTGATCATGTGTGACCCAAGTGACATGGCACGCTAATGAATTTAATGTATAACACAACATAGATTTCCTTTTCATGGTGTCCTGGTAGGCCTTAGCTATTAGTTAGCAGTAAACACAGCAATCATGACTCTGCTTCTAAAATCTCCCTTAGAATTCTTAAGGTGAAATAAAAAAAAAAAATCATCTGTCATTTCCAATTTAAGTTCTAAGTCGCACTGGCATAAAGCAAAATATAGGGAGAACTAGTTTCAGTGACTGCCTTTTCAAAGTGCCCCAGATGAAATCCACACTGTGTTACGTTAAAAGCCAGCCTACCACTTTAGAACCATAGGAGATCAAAAATTATGAGTGGCAGTATTAAACTTCCAGTGAATGGAAATCACTAAATGCAGCAAATCTTTGACAGCCACACAAAAGGGAAGGGGGGAGGGGAGAGGAACCAAACAAACGTGAAGAAAGAATTAGATTGAGCACCATTAGACACTCGACTCTATGAAGGTCACCAGAGACATCTATATAAAATACACTCACGTTGGACTTTTTACTCCAGAACTGCATCCCTAACAAATATAAGCTTACTGTAAAATATGTACATAGAAAAAGGGAAAAAAATTAACCCCAGCAAAGGGATGGTAATAGCTCTTAAATGATCATTCTGGTTAATTTTTTTTAAATTAAAAACTTTGTTTTCAAATAACCAGTACCAATTAACACATTATATTAATAACAATCTTGGCAATATCCTTATATATATATAATTTTTTTTGGAGATTATATATATATACACATATACATACATATACATACATATATATATCTTCAAAATGGTCACAATTTGTCATTGCATGAAATGCTTCCCTGCAGATTTTCCTGCCTCAACTTGCAGTTATGGATTTAAATCAATCAGTCAATCTCCAAATGAAATGTACATACCTGGGAACTGATAGCTGTAACTTGGGGCAAATCCAGGATATCCTCTGCCATATGTCGCAACAAAATTCGGGTAACCTTGAATGTAGAAATGTGAATAAAAGAAAATGGCAGATTAGTAAGGTTTTACTCTTTGCTCCTACATCTAATGTAACTAACACAGAGGATGGGTGAAAAAGAAATTTGACTTTTACACAAGGTATGAAAGAACACAGTTTTCTCTTCTCATGCACAACTGCAGGAAGGTTTCATCTTGAAGGAAAATGAAACATCTGCAGACACATGCTACTCTTCCTGATCACTTTCTCCTTTTCCTATGCATATGAGATCTGTCACTCATATAATTAACATGCACTTTGGTATCTGAAGTCCAAGGACTGTGCATACTTTTTAGCTAGAAGAGTAAATGCCAAATGCTAAGGCTAAACACATAACACTGGTTTGCTCTGACATTTGGAGAGCTTACAATGAATGTACTTTGCTTCAGAGTTATTGACAGTTGGAGATTAAGGTACTAGTAATTCTTCATCCCAGGAGTGTGAAGGACAACAGTTAACACATCAAAGAGTTAGAGGCAGCAATATGAAGGAACTAGAGAGTCAAAGAGGTTTTAGTTTTTCAGGAAGGTAAAATTCAACAGATAAGAAATTTTTCCTGAAGCGATTTGTAACAGTTACAATCAAACAAAATATTTGCTATTTTCTTATTAGGGCAATACCATTCAAGGACACTTTGTTGTAAATAAAAATGTGTAAGCAAATATATTGAACAACAAATGGTGTCCAATTTAACATAAGGTTTCAGCAGTCACATAACATGGCAGAAAAAAACCAACCACATGCTAGTGTAACACAGAAAAAAAGCCTGTAGAATCTACAGCTACAAACCCCAGAGGTACATTGCAGATGGTGGAAGAAAACAGTGTTGCAAAGAGGACAAAACCATTTCAAGCAATATTACTGAAAGCATGACTGAGATTTGGGTAACAGCACTAAAAATTAGAGCAAGCTGGTTTGGTCACATTCTCATTAACAAGTAAACCGGCGTGAACTCGTGTTCATTGGAACCCATTGCTGGCCATGGCTGAGAGCAACACGTCAATTTGCTAGTGTAGACAGGGTTGTCACGCACAGAGACTGTGCCATTTGGCTTTTTTTGTCCAATAGACAATCTTAGATAAGAATTCTACTGTATTATATAAAGACAGTAGGTTTATCTAGGCTCAAGAGAAAAAGCTGCTTCTGGCTCTTTAAGAGTCTAGAGGAACACCTGGGAATCCCATGCCTTGCACTGGGTAGCGTGAGTGACCCTGGAATGCTGAATGGAGACTGAGTGAGCACTAGAAGAGGATCAGGAAAGGCTAAATTACATCCACCTCTGTTAATTTCAGTGGCAGCTATGCATACATATAGTAAACCAAGGCAGAATTTAAAGCCCCATGGGTTTAAAGACCAGAGATGAAGGGGTAGATCTGACTCCCATTGAAGTCCTGAGTCCTGTCCCATTTCTCTGTATGCGTGTTCTATCTATGTTCTTAAATGTACCCTGTCACCGAGCCACCAGACCGCCTCCAAAAGTTATAAAAACAGCGCACACAGATAGATTTCTCTCTTGCTCCTCCTGTTCAGACAGCCAGGACCCTACTTCATTTATTTTGCATCTCTCTCCAACCCCACCCGCACCCACCCTCCCAGCGGGGTGTTTTTGAACAAAGACATAGTCTAAAAAAATGCGAGTTTGTTCTGAACGCAGCAGGTTCCTGGACAGCCTCACTTCTGGAAATCAAAACTTTTGCCTAAAATGATGCACATTCTGTCAGCTGCATAGGGGTTCTGTGTTTTCTCCATGCTTTCTTCTATTTGCATCGAGGCCGATAAGGTAACTGGCTTTTCATAGGCTCCATTAGTGCTCCATTTACCAAGACTAATAGTTACAGTGACTACCTTGTGTTACCCTCTACAAAGCTGGCATGTTTTTCAAACATCACTTACAATTCTCAAACTTTGCCTGCCTACTTTGATCAGAATAGGAGTATTTATATTTCCAGCGCCAACACACACTGCACAGTCTTCTCCACAATTACTGGGCAGTGCTCAGCTTTCTGCCTTTCTCCCCAAACCCACTGTCTCATCATGAAAGTCTTGATGCAACTCCCTTTGAAGTCAATGGGAATTTTTCCATTGACATTAAAGGAAATTGCATTTGGCCTTAAGCGCATTGATATGGATGGTTGGTTTTGTTTGTTTGTTTACAATTGAAAATTTCCTTCCAAGGTCTCATACCTCTATTTTTATTTATTCTTTAAAAAGCAACTATTTCTAATATACTTTACAGTTATTTTGGTGACACAGCAAGTCCCTCCATTTCAGATAGAATTTGTATGTTTCATGCAGTTTACCATTAATCATATTTTAAAACCAGAAAATTAAATGCTTGTATGAATTTTGATAACTGGATTAAAGGGGTGTAGGAGAAAAGCAGGCATGTGACCACAACACAGGACACTGGTGCATTAAATAAATATGTACCTACGTTAGCTATCTCTTGAATATTTATTTCACAGCTCAACAGCAGGATTCCCTTAGAAAGCTTTCATTAAATCAGACCTTTCAGAGATAAGCTTTACAAACCATTTTAAAAAACAATAATAGTGATAGATGGATTGTTTGCAAACTAAGTAGCCCCATTAACATCACTGCGAACCTCAATTCTGCAGAGTCATTTCCACCAGAGCTCATTCTCTTTTTAAAGAGCAAGTTTTATTTGGACTCTAAAAGATGAGATGATTTGTCAACTTAAAAACTGATTTAGGGTAGCTGGGGGAATGGGCTTGCCACACACACAACTAGAGATTTTGCATTCTAATCATTAAGGGCTAGATTGTAACCTACAATCTTTGCTGCGTAAGAGGTGACATGTATCTGCACTTTCCAGAATGCAGACCAGGGAATGAATTGAGACTCAGAGTATCTGGTTCTTTCCTCACCCTGAAGGGAAGTAATCTCCACAAGGCCTTTACCACGCACAGATTACTTTCTCCTCTGTGCCAGCTCAGCTGTGCTGAGTGTGGCACACTGCGGGGCAGAGTTTCAGAGTGAAACCACCACTTCCTTTCCCTGATCACCCACCTATGTGATGAGAAGGGCAGTAGCAACCCCACTAAGCCCATTCTTCCCTTCCACACAGAAACCCACGGAACTTCACACCGTATTCCCTTGTGCAGGCTTACTGGGCAAGTGATGTTCTTGCCCTAATAGAACAGCCTTGAAAAGAGATACCTGAAGCCAACCAGCGAGACAACTGTAAAGACACTTGTGACCCCCCCCCTAGCCTCCCCACCAACTGTATCGTTTCTAACAACAAAGACAAAATACACAGCTGACTGGATAGAGGTTCTAATCTGTATCTCCCATCACAGAACATTCTCTAGGTCAGGCAGATGAAATCATAAATTTATAATACAGCATTACTTCAATTTTCCTCTTCATTTACTGCTGCGGTGCCCAGCTCTGCTCTAACGAGTCAAAGCCCAATCTGCACGGGGGAAATTGGCTGGCTGCATATCAATAGCACATTAGCACCATGCCCATGTGGATGCTTCATCAAGCCAAATTATGGTCCGGCCGACCTATCCACCATTTCCATTAGCCGCCATTCTCATCCTGCATTGGGCACTGAGCAATTTATTTGCTTCAGTACTTCTAGCGGATGATCAATCTCACAGTAATTACCTCTTGTTGCTAAACTAAAAATCAAGGCTTTGCCTGGATTACCTCCCTTGAAGAGAGATCGTCCTGTCCATGAAAGTGCAAACTTAAATCAACAATCAAATACAGTTTTACAACACAACTTTTACTCAGTTCTGTCTCCCTAACCAAAGATGGCAGATCCTATATATTCCATCTCTCAGGTCAGTTGGAAAGTGTCTCTAATCTGTTGTTAAATTACTGACCCAATTAGACGGCTCAGATGGAAGCTTTGCCGATGTTCACGCTAACTTAGGGCCAGATCTTCAGCTGGCGGAAGATGCTCAATGGAACATGCCACCTGAGAATCTGACCCTTAAACTATAGTGGTGAAGTTTGGTCTTTATCTCTGCCACAGGTACTGCCACACATGTAGTTATGTGGTTTGTTCACAGTTCCAAAAAAATACCGGGGGAAAAAATGTTTCCGGCATGGTGTTAATGTGCTATTGATATGCAGCCAGCCAGTTTTCCCCTGTGCAGATTGGGCTTTGACTCATTAGACCTGAAAACAAAATGTTTTGAAAATGTTGTCACAATGGAAATGCCAAATAAATAAATAAATAAAGTTTCCGATTGAACAAAACATTTTGTTTAACTTTTAAGTGTTTTTTTAAAAATGTTTTTGCATTTTTGTAAATAAAATAGAAGGAAATTACAAAACCAACTCATTTCAACCAAGAAACTCAGGATGTTTCATTTAGAAAATGTCAAACTGAAATATTTACACTACTTCGGAACTATTTTTCTTCTAACACAAACAATTCAGCAAAATAGACAGGAAGTCATTAAACATTTCAGTGTTGCAGAATCTGTATTTTTCCACACATACAAGTTCCCGCCAAAAAATTTCATCTAGCTTTACACACGATGGAACAGTGAACGCTGTTTTAAATATATACATTGACCAGCCATTACAATTCCACTGCATAGCATTTCCTATTGTAGCTATAGGAAACACATGAAAAACAGCAGTAGAGCCAAACACCACTGTGTAATAAATTCAAGTGGTCTTTAAATAGGAAAGCATCCAATAGAGATGAAACTTGCATTCAGTTTATAGGACAAAATAAATGGGAAATAATATATTACTTTTTTTTTTTTTTTTTACTTAGAATTATTTTTTTTCTGATGATATCAAAGCACTTGATAAATATTCAACTGTTAATACTCTGTAAAGAAGCTATTAAAGCCATTTTACTAACAGGGAAACTGAGGCACAGAGCGGCTGAGTGATTTATCCAAGATCACACAGCATGTCATTAGTATTATTACTTGTATTTCAGCAGTGCCTAGAGGGCCCAACTAGGATCCCCACTGTGCTAGGTGCTGC